CTCCAGTGGCAATGGCATTGAATCTCAATACAACCGCTCCCGCAACCGCGACCGCGCTCCTCTCGCGGCGCCAGCTGACTGTGAATTGCAGGTCGAGCTAGCTTTTCAGCGCTTTTGTTGAGCAAGCAAGATAAAAGCCGCAAAAGGGGCGAGGGTTTGTCTGTGTGGTTGGAAAGGTCCAATCATTGATGCTTATCCGACTGTCTACAGGTGAGCGTGCCTGGTCACGCAACAAGAATCCATCAAAGATACCCCTTCTTGATATTATTCTGCTCTACTATAGTGAACCGTAATCCGCAATAACGACTGCATAGGTTGCAAAGACACACAAGATCGTTTAGTTTTTGGAAACTGCCAAAATTCACATCGGCTGCGCTACAGCTCTTATCAGTAATTTTTTTTTTTATGAAACCGTAAACTTTTTTCGCAGTAATGCCCCGCATAATGGGGTTGTAATTATGCTACAATTGTGAGGAAAGAAGAATACCATATAAAGAACCTCATTTCCGGTGGAGATGGACGGTGAAGCGGTCGTGCAGCGTGCACAAAAATGGCCGAGTGAAGCTGAAATTGTTCCTTTAATCAATTTGATGACCAAAACGGCGATAAGAGAAAGACTCAGGAAGTGCTGACGTTGGCGTTATAATCTTGATCGAAAAAAAAACACGGTGGCAAAACGTCCATGTGTAGTGCGCTCGTTCAAAGTAGCGTTTGGCGAAAAGTAGAAGGGGCAGCCTAAGCTCAAAGTCCTCTGTGAGATTATTTGCTAGTGTATGGATATAAATTACTGGGGAAGCAGTCTACTGATTTGGGATTTGAAGTTCACTGCATAATAGCTATTAAGCTGCGATATTTCAGTTCCCTTCCCAAGTTCATGTGGGTAACTTCCATGTGTGAGAGGCTGTCGTTCTGCGCGGCCGCAGGGTGGCAAAATTAAGGGAAGAGAAAAGCTCACCGGCGACGCGGACGCGAGCGCGTGCTGGTGACGTCACAGCTACGGAACCAGCGTCACTGACACTGTGCCCGAACAGTAATGGGATTGCTGGCACTTTACTAATCTATTTAATTCACAGTGCAGAGAGTGAAATGATTGTAGGGTGCTAAGTGGGGTGGGAGGTCCATGCGCGGCGCTCTGTTCGTCTGCTCCTCCAAGACTTAGTCCACGATGGCGCGTAATTCGAAACTGCCAAGTGGGGCTTTTCCGATGCGCTTCCTCTTTATCGTAACCGCTGCCTTTAAAGACCCATTGTCCCTTAGTAGTGGGCACATCGCTCTTCTTCAAAATCCATTCAATAGTGTTTACAGGCTTTACCGCGAGTGAGATTGAGCTGGATTTATAGTGGGAAGTGGCGATGCTAAGTAATGCTCCAGCCGCGAATAAGGCAGAGGAATTCGTCTAGAACATGCAAAACAGTTTCAAATAGGTTCGAAGTTTTGTGGCAACCTGGTGCATGCCCCGCCCATCAGTAACAGTTGATCTCCCCTCTTGCTTTCACCTCTATCCACATTTCTCGCCCTTTAGACCTTTTCGAGGAAGACCATTATGAGGACTGTGGGAGCCGCGCTGCCTTGAAGGAGCACGCGCCCACCATTGGGAAACGAGCACCACTCCACGTAATGTGCGGAACACTAGACATTGTTACATACACAATTTTTTGGTGTTGTTAGGTTCTCATAAAAACAATTTATGAACTTTTCTCCCACTACTAACAACTCTTTTTTGGGCCATCACGCCTCCCCAGGTTAGCTACCCTAATTCGATCTATCTTATCAATGTACACCTTTATGGAGCGTTCGTAGTTGGCCGATTAGGCGATTAGTCTAAATGAAAAATATACGTATAGATTAGGCGAGTAGGCGAGTAGGCGATTAGGCGATTAGGCGATTTGCACACGGCGCACTCCTTAGTCGTCAAAATTGAGGCGCACATGCATATTAGCTTCTCACCCATACACTAGACTACTAGTTGGTAAAAGCAGATCTTGTCAAAGTGTTGCATACAATCCAGATATCACCTAATCGCCTACTCGCCTAATCGCCTAATCGCCTACTCGCCTACTCGCCTACTCGCCTATCGACGTCGATTCGCACACTATGAAGCCCATTACAAGCTCCTTTTCGATCACCTTAGGCGGTATTGCAATATTGAAATTTCTTTTGTGAAGCACGCCGCTCACCGGGCTCCGCTTATCCTATGTATGCTCTGTACTTGTGACATGACCACTGATCCCACCGTTGGCCCAGTCTCACCATGCGGATCTCCAGCAAAAGGGGATTTCGTGACACGCATACCGACGGTCCGAGGGCAGACCACTGGTGACGGATAAAGCGCTTTATAGTTAGTAGAATTTGCAGCGGAAGTGATGTAGTGCCATGTAGCGTCGCTATCACGTATACGGAGCGTGGATTTGATCTTGCCCAAATCAGGGAAGACATCAGGGAAACTTCGGACATGCTTACTTTACCCCAGACACGCCTCAGAAGAAGGAGGCTCATTCACCATCTCCCCAAGCCACTGTACATGAAGATGCCCATCAAAGACTATTATGGTCCTGAGATGCAATAAATGTTCAATTATGGCGCGGCGCAGCTTGAACGAAAATATATTGACTTCAAGAATTTTATTCTGTCGGTTCACCATAGAGAGCATCCACTGAAACGTGAACAGTTTACAATAGACGTTCGCTTCGCCTTTTCTCGTATTTCCAACAATTTCTTGTCCTTCTGCGCCTGCCCGTTTAGCACAAATCACCTGTTACTGAACTTGTGTGATCTTTGTTTCTAAACTGAAGCCGACTGCACTGATGGCGAATTTTAAGGCCAAAGATTGATGGAAAGCCCATGGTAGCGTGAATGGATCGATGCATTTGGTGAACCGACTGCACCCCTACCAACGACCTTGTCGATTTGGTCACTTGAGACGCTCACTCACTCTATCATTAGCAAGATTTAGGTGTCTTCATTTTCCACAATCACGTGGCTGTGAAAATTCCACGAGAAAATGAAAGCGGACCAGGACATGCATCAACAGAAGAGGAAAAGGGAAGATAAGATTCATCGTTTTTTGAAAGATGGGCGTGTTCACGAGAAAGGCACAGCCAATAAGCACGAAAGAAAATGTGTACGGGACGATAAGAGGACGAGCGAGACAGCAGATTGCTTCGTGAGCAAGAGCAGCGGCGAATAAGTGCGACCATGGGACCACCCCACAAGAAAAAAGTACCCTAAAATCCCATAGATAAGAGCGGTCCATAGATATTTTTTCAAAAATAAAATAAAAATAAAAATATTTTTTCAAAATCATTTTTTACCGGTAAATTAAACCGCTCTTATCTATGGAATTTTACTGATCGAATGGGCTCTTCAAGTTCTATCCAGAGATCAAATTCCGGCATTTCTAGAGAGATTCCGGCAGAAATTCCGTTAAAATCGCTATTTTTCTATATGAATTGTTTATTAAGTGGGCGGGGTTTAGAGTTGAGGGGCGGAGCTTCTTCTAAACTTCTTCTCCGATTTTTATTTATCCATCCATCAAGTTAGAGGGGTGACTGCATTCAATTTCAATTTCATTCCAATTCATTTTTCACCGGTAAATTAAACCGCTCTTATCTATGGGATTTTAGGGTAGTTGTCATATTCCCAGCACCCAGCCTGCTTCACGAAAGGGAGGATTTCACGCTGTCCATCGTGGTATTGACATTGAGCCTTTGAAACATTTGGCGTGAGATAGAGGCTAAATAATCGGCGGGCGCTGAATGTTTGAATGCGTAATGCGATTCCCTAATCATTACGTTATGCTAATCTTTTCAACGCAAATTATCTTATCTCGATGCGTTTAACATGAATCAGCAGTACGCGAATAGTCAGCATGCCGAGGACCTCTCGCCCAGGGCCCACCGTTTGCGCTCGGCACTTTTCTAAAAGTTCCCGGGACGGGGCCCGGGGCCTTCCAAAGGTTCATACGAACCTACAACATCCAGACTAGCTGCGGCGGGGGGAGTCTTGCTGGTTCGTCACTGAAATTACGCCATTATAGGGTGGACCGCAGCAATGATGGAAGTTTCGACAATTCAGTAGACCTTTTAGAATCACTTCGAGAATGCCGACAACTAAGCTCTCTTTATAGTAGGCATTTTCTGCCCATGGGCACCGTCATTCTATTGTGTACACGACAAGGAGGCCTTTTGCGCGGCCAGAAGGCAGAGACGCAGACGGGTCAGTGGACGAGTCGCAGCGCGTATTGTGCGATGTGGGACGTACTACATTCATTTAATTTGACGCTAAATCGCTACAGTACGCGCTGCGACTCGTCCGCTGACCCGTCTGCGTCTCTGCCTTCTCGCCGCGCGACGGGCCTCCTGTCGGGTACCCTATTTTATCGTACCATTACTTTTCCGTGTATCCCAATGACGCAACACAGAAGGAACATAGAACACATATATTAATCTCCGTTTCGTTGGTTCACATTGTTTACATACAAATGAGTCTTCAATGTAACTCGTAGAAATCTATCAATCTATTAAATAGCGTACTATTTCATCAACACATCGAACCCGTAACGGAATAACTAAAATGACTGAGAACATAACAAACTGGAAAAACATGAACTGACCAAACATTGATGGAACCTAAGTAGTGAAGAAAGCAATGAGAAAATGGAAATATGGTAGAAGTCAACCCGAAACGATACGAGGACAACAGCTCAAAAGCCATCGAGCGGTGTGGTCACCCGCATAAATGATGCAGGAACAACAAGGAAGGACAGTAACGATCGAGCACGAGCGCCGCCATTTCGGCGTGTTCTTCGATCTTAACAGATTAATGGAACAAGTCATTGAAAGAAAAGCGTAGTGAACACCCGTTCGAATAGAGGAAATTAGACGTCGGAGAGATTCCACGACCACGTCAGCCGCAGCTCATTCAGACGCTGAGTGATGTTGCCATTGGTCTCCTGGCAGGCAGCCAAATATTTGTTATGTGTCGAGTAAGTATGACCGAACAGTTTCCGAACCAATTTTGCACAGAATACCTAAAATGGAGCACTTAGAAATCGCAAGATACACTCTAAAACGCCAACAGACGCTCAACTGAATTGACTTTATTTCATTTTAATGGGAAGATGTGAAGAAGTAAACAAGAGCCCTTTTCTTTGCTAGTAGCTACTTTTCGCCGCAGTTCCCAATATGTCAACAGAATCCTCGAATATTGGGCAAAACCCTCGCCTGGGGGGTGGGATTAGACCTTCGCCGCGTGGCGATCCACGCACTCGCAGTTTTTTTTTTCGTACAGCGAGAGTTGCGATTTTTGACTTCCGGATTGGGCGTTAAGGGTTTTGCACGGTCCAGCATCTTTGTGTTGGCAAGGACTGATGAATTTTTTTAAGATTAGAGCCAGCAATTTGCCATCGAATTCAGGGAGGGGGTGTTTAAAAGGGGACGTGGGGGTCCGCACATGGTGCGCCTTAGTATACGAAAAAAACGGGACAAAATCTGGCGTAGACAAACGCAGGACGGACCCTCCTGCTTGCGCTCTGTTGGACCTTCCCTCAAGGGAAGGGCAGCGACAAGGATGGTGGATGAGCACCTCGCACCGGCTCGGGATCCCGCACCTCGCTGTTTTTTTTTCGTAAGCGGAGTTGCGGTTGACTCAGCGATTGGGGTAAGGGTTTTGCCACGCGTCCAGCATCTTTGTGGCCAATTGAATGAATTTTTTATAGATTTAGAGGGCAGCGATTGTCATTGAATTCTGAAGAGGAGGTTTAAAGGGCGACGTTGCGGCGCGTCCGCAATGGTGCGCTTAGTAACGATAAAGCGTGACAAATCTGGGCTAGGAAAAGCAGGACAGATCCTGCCTTGCGTCGTTGACCTTCCTCAAGGAGCGAGCAAGCGACCTAAAGATGTGTGGACGTATGGAGAGTTTGACGCAACGGCATTTTGATCGTGACATAGCCAAAACCGTTGCCCAGTAGAGTTGCCCCCGCCTTATCGCTGCTGGCAACACAGCTCGTGCACCAACTAAACTAGGGTAGAGCGCTTAGGGATCGTGGTGACTTTTAAGTACTGCTCTACAGCCAGCGCACTTTTCGTCGCGGAAGCGCCACATCTCGCTTCTCTAGCAGCCAAGCTACCGCTTCGTGTGGCTTCTGTCACCAATTACAACTAGTACCAACTATCACTATCCTATGAACCACTAATTACCAGATTCACTTAGAGGCCGTCGTCACTTTTGTTGTGTGGTCTGCACTCGACGCGCATCTGGTTTTCGGAAAAGGGGTTCCGTTGGCGCAAAGCCTCTCCACGTCTTTTTTGAGAGTATTCGAAGAAGAAGAAAACCAACGAAACCGCCACAACTTACTTCGAGGTTCGAATCGGTCCGATCGGAGCATGTCAGATCCGCCGTGCACCTCGCCTTGCAGTCCCCGATCGCACAATCGTCGTCGGTTGCACATGGGCGTCCCTGAAGTGCAGCCCGGAGTCGAGACTCAGTGTATACCATATCTCCATCCATCAACACAAATCTTAAAGAACAGAACCATTTTTTACAAAACTCTGCTTGAAATATAAGCGAAATCAAGTACCGCTTCGGATAATCAGCAGAGAGTCCTAGATTGTCAAAGCGAACGTCACACCATTGAAGTGGCTCATTGAGAAACTCGTAGAATAACTTTAACGTGCCCATTATATGCACAAGAATTTTACCCTAAAAGAAAAGACGTTAAGACAGCAGGAAGACAGGAAAACAATCTAAGGGAAACGATGAGCCAGACCTTGAGATTCATATAGTAGCCCTTCATACGAAACGCGACAAGCACTTCGGTCGAATAGAACTGGCCACAGGTACCGATAATCTTAAAATAACAGTGTCAAACTATACAACAAAATCAATTATTAAACATTGGAACGCTGAACCGAGATGAAGAACAAAATGAGACCTTCGGAGTGACTCTTGTCAGTGGTAGTACCCGAAATAAAATAAATTCAGGTTGCTGAAGTAGGGCCCATAGAGAAGCTCGATCAGCAGCATTCATCGACTCTCCTGGGGTCCTAAATCAGCAGTTGTTACAATTCTAAACATTTCATAAGGCCGAAAGGAAGCGATTACAACAAAGAGAAACTGGATCAAGGAAGTATAAGCACCACACGAAGCAGTTAGGCTGCCAAGGAAGCGAGGTGTGGCGCTTTCACGACGAAAGGTGCGCTGGTTGCTGAGCAGGACTTCGAAAGCGCTCCGCCCCCAAAAGCGATCCGCCCACTAGTTTAGGTGATTTGGACGAGCTGCGTTGCCAGCAGCAGCGCGAACTAATAGTCTTGGCAAGCCCCCCCCCCCGAATTCCTCACACTTCAAGGCACGGCCGTGGAGAGCGCGACAGAGTCTTGAGCGCTCACGAAGCGTGGGTAATTTTGCTAACGCACTCAAGGTGCTCACAAACTGTGCTGATATGGCGTTTCAAATTTACCCAGTTACTGGGCACCACCGACCCGTCCGCGCCTCAAAAAAAAAAAAAAAAGAAAAAAAAAAAAAAAAAAAAAAAAAAAAAAAAAAAAAAAAAAAAAAAAAAAAAAAAAAAAAAAAATAAAAAAAAGTGATAGAAGGACTGAGGGGGGCTAGCCGGTTTGGCATGACTCATCAAAAACGTTACTGTAAACTTCGTCCATACGTACGCCGCATCAACCGCTACCCGTTCTTTGAGGCGAAATCACGACCACCACAAGGAGTCCCACCTCTGCTTTTTTCCACATGCGGTAATTGCGCACCTCCCACCCCTCCAAATCCCTCCAGAACCGTCCTAATCGCTGCCTTTTATGAGGCAAAGTTGTTTACCTCCGCAGCGTTGGCCAGAGGGTTTCCATAAGATGTTTCTTGTAGTGTCGCGGCCAACCCAAAGTACTCATCGGTGACCTGCGTCAAGCTAACTGAATGAGATGCATACGAATGCCAAAGTATAGATTTTCTAGGACAGACGCATGTTGTTCACCTTGTCCGAAAACTGTCGTCGTATTTAGCGCTACGTAAGCTGCTTATCTATCCGAGGGAAGTCGCCCATGGACGGATGAATGCTTTTGAAGACTGCTGTTTGTCCCCCATCCTTCATCACCACAACGACCTGGAAAAGGTTACAAACTCAGTCGCCCAAAAGACTAACCTAAGCAACTTCAGCCTACCTTATTTCCCTCGTAATAGTCGTTGATTTTCCAGTCTCGATTGTAGCACAGGCGATTGCATGAATCACCAGATATGAGACCGGCTTCAAACGAGTCGCACAATTCCGTCAACACTTCAATCGCCCTGAGAACTCGCAATCACCCAACAAATGGATTGTATTAATAGCACAGAAGCATCATAAAACATACGAAGAATAGGGTGTATAAAGTATAGCCGAACCTGGTCGTGTTCACCCCAGTTTTTGGCAAAGAATCGTTGTTGACATCCATGATGGAAGTCGCTCGATTCGCAGCGAGAACTATAAAATTTTTCAAAAATTCAGTACTACAAGACACAATCCCTATTGCTTAAGGTTCTATCGCATATTAATATTTGGTCATTGACGCACTAAACGTTCTTCTTGCCTCAAAAACGTGAATTCGGCCTAATAACTTTTCATTTTCCATCATGTTCCGTACTATTTGCACCCGTTCGTTGCATATTGTTAAGCCACTCAAAGGAGAAGATGACTAGCAGCTTTCACCTATGCATACGATTACGACTCGTGCTCAAAACACGGCTAACCGACCCGTTGTTCCATTCATTTTGAATTTACGACCTCCCCTTCACCCCCCTCCCACCGCAATTCAGCCTTATGAGGGACTACATGGAGTTGGCTTGTTCAATGTAATTTTGAGACAGTCGACGGTGCTTCAAGTCCGCCAGTGGGAGCGAAGGGTTGGTTAAATACGAACAAGGGATGTTACAGTTTTTTCCATCGGTATTGCTTCTTTGCTAGAGTTTCGCTTTTCCGCCAAAACCGTCAAGAAATCTCTCAATATCGTCTCTAGCAAGCAAGCCCATCAAATTCCACGAGTACAATCCTTATTCAACTGACATTCTGCCAATCCCGAATACGAGCCGGTCCTGTTTTGTAAGCTGCTGCATGCAAGCTGTTGATAATTCGTTAGAGATAGAATACATAATCCGCCACGACTGTCTTACGTCGCCTACAAGGGCCGGCATATATACTCAATTTCAAAAAACGAGAAGAGCGTCGGGTGCAGACCATACACCACAAGTGACGACGGCCTCCACAAAATGTAAATGTTTTCTGCCAATGAAATGATTAGCCTGTTGCAGTTGTATTCTATCAGTTGTCACTAATTACAACTATCATTTACCAAAATCAGCTATCACTATGAACAACTTCTAACCAGATTACTTGAAGGCCGTCGTCATTTGTGGCGTATGGTCTGCATGGCCGATCGCTCTCTCACAGTTTTTTTTTTTGAAAGGGAGGGATGCTTTGATGGCCCGCTGACGGGCACATTTGAGAAATTCCACACACGTGAGCACAACCTAAGCCCTTGAGGATCCACCTGATAAGAAGTAGAGTTGCAAGCTCCGTGTTGAACGCAGAAAATAAACTAACATAGGCATGTCAAATAGATGAGCAGCATGACGAAGATGGCGATGAGCACACGTCCAGGCCGTGAACATAAAAATGTGCGAAACGCCTCGTCACCCCAGCCGCTGCACCTGGAATCGATGAGATGATAACGTTTTCCGCTTGATAAAGAGGACAGCTGAGGAGATATGATGATAATAGGACAATGCAAGAACTCACTCAAACACACTGCACCACCACATCGTTATGATAATTCAAACAACTCAACAGATGGACAGCGAATCTGGGGCATCGATATCCGCGCGAAAAGCTCCAATGCAACGATATATCACGCGCGCGCACAACTAACTAGTTTTGATTGCGCGATCGCTACTTGCCCTCCGTAGTATCGATACAAATAGACAGGTCAGTGGCAATGAAAGTGAACCCGTAATTGAATCGCTCATTGAGTTGCTGCGTGGGGCAGGTATTATACACATCAGATTCAGAACAAAAAAGAAAGAAATCTCACCGAACGAAACCTAAAGACCGTATCGGACCCTTGAAAGTGCGACCTTATGAAAAGTGCTCGGCAGAAATGAAATTCAAGGCCACGGAAGGTAAGGACACAAACGCAACTCGATTCACTCGAAGCAGCTCTATCAACCACCAGCTGTATCAAATCTGATATAAATATTCTACCGTATGGTAATCAATTGAACGTTTTGATCCGTTGGTATACATAGTTTTACGAAAACAAAAAGCTTAGCAGAAATGAAACTCAAGGCTACGGAGACTAAAGCATCAACTTCAGATGAGGTCAAGTCGAAGAATCTATTCAGTCCGTGGGATTCAGTACCCCACTACTATCACACATGTGTCGTTGTTGCGGCTCGAAAGTGCGCGACAGCGGCGCTAAGGCCTTACAAAGTGATCTGATGGCGACTAATGTGAACTTATGGACGAGATACCTCGCGCACACCCCATGATACGCAGCGTGGATTACGACGTAGCGGCTAATTCAAATACGCGCGGGTTAGTGGAGCCATGGAGCAAGCAAGTTCAGACAACTCGTCCGGTCGTTTAGTAATAGCCAGAGAGCCAAGCTAAGTTTTGACAACTCGTTCGCACGCGCCCTCCCTCATTCAAGGAGGGAAGGGAGAAGGGTATTACTTAAACGGCTTCATTGACGGTTTGCCTCGGTGCTTTATTCATTTTCCGTCAGTTGGGTATCTACAACTCCATTATCGGCCGCTGTTCCTCCACCATTTTGATCGGCGGTGTTGGTTAACCACACGGACGACAGCGTGACGCGCACGCGCGCGAAATTTTCACCCTTATGAACGCGCTTTACCCAATTCATTGGCATGTTCTAAAGCTGTTGGTCCACATCATCGCATCAATAAATGGTATAGCCGGGTTTAGCAGAATGAAGTCTATCGAAGGTCGCCAATGATTGTGTTTTCAAGAAGCGAAAATAAATTGATTGAACGCTCTGCTATGTTGCTTATTATTACATAATTTGGTCCCGTTTTCTTTTAGGACGCCATAAAACAAGAAAAATGGGAAATTCAACGTGAATTCAGGCAGGCATAGCAGCCACTTGAACGATAAGGCCCTTTTGTACAAGCATCACCCGTGGTCGCTCGAGCGCCTTTCCGCACCCACAAGCGAAAGAAAAGATAAGCGGAGTGCATTTTCTCATCGTACGCTAAGTACACTAAGCCCATTGGTCAAAGACCGCACTCCTCTATATGATGTAGAGAATGGAAGAATGGATGTAGTACTCTCCTCTGGTAAGGGAGAGAAAGAAAGTTCAAGAGGAGATACGATTTTATGAGCGAGTTTGTGTACCGTGTATGAAAAGGCCGCATAACATAATGGCATTTGATGGACGAATTCTAGAATAGCGCACGAAAAAGGCGTGAAGTGAACAAAAACTTTATCATCAAAGCTCGACATTTGCTCTCAAGCTGTTCTGCACTCTTCAGGCGGCTGTTCTTTTTCGTGCAGATCCAGCGAGATGCACTAACCAGAATGGTATTTCTGGGAGTGCAGAGCTTCTCCAAAACGATCCTTCGCAGGATATAGGGGCTCATGCGGGAAGCACAGAACCACGGTCAAGTTTTCCTAAGCGTCTCCCTGAGTACAAAAAAAAAAAGGGGGGTCTTTGATTCAGTTCATCGTGGTGATAAACGTTTGCATTTCGAGTTGACTGTGGAAATGGAGTTAGCATATAAACAATGGCTGCCATTCATAATTAGGACCCTCAGTAACCCTCACAAATAAACCTTGATTAAAAACTTAGTGAAAAAAGTTGTCACACATAGTGTGGCCATTCTGACGTCCTGACTTTTTCACCAGTTTTCTAATCAAAGTCTATTTGTAAGGGTTACTGACGGTCCTAATCATGAATATGACACTCACTTATTCATGCTAACTCCATTTTGCGCGAATTTTGGAACGTCAACTCGAAATGCAAAAATTTGTCACCACGAGGAATCGAACTAGGGACCCCCTTTTTAGGTACTCAGAGGGCCGTTCAGGAAAAATTAACATGGTTCTGTGGTTCCCGCATCTGCCCCTATATCACGCAAAAGACCGTTTTCAAAAAGCTCGGCCACGCCCTGAGAGACCTTCGCGTCAAATAATCACCTCTTATCTGGGCTAGGTTCCGTAGGGTTATCCTCTACTAGTCAATAAGGACATGAAACTTGCTGTGAAATAGGCTCTCACGACTACCGCGTGAAAGATAAGTAGCACAGCAATACACCCCTCTCTTAGAAGAAAATTCTAGAGCCAAATTTGCAAAATGATCGATGATTGACTACCGATAGGAGCAAAACTACGTGTCTCCCATCCTTCGATTGCCCGTACACTTCGAGCCCGTCAGCATCGCACTTACCTACAAATAGCCGACGAATGATTTGTTGAAGAAGTAAAATAAGTGGAAGGTCAGGGTCAAGCGCCGTTATGAATGCACACCTCTAACGCAACCACCTTTCATTGGCAATCTCTCCAGCTAAGCGCGCCGAAGCGCCGAAAGAAGAAAAATAGAGAATGTACATTGTCTGGTAGCTATTGAAATTTCCAATTTTCAACCTTTATACTTGAAGATAAAGTACTAAAACAAGTAAAATGGTGGTGTCAATCAAAGCGTTTGTGGATTGAGCCGCGACGTGTCATATGGCCGATGTCAGACTTTGCGAATCGCGCGATTTGCTAGCGTCCGCGGTCGCGTTGTGGTACTAGCCAATTGAGTGATTCACTGGCCGCGACGCGACCGCAGACGCTAGCGAATCGAGCGATTCGCAAAGCCTGCGGTTCCATTCGCCTAAACCTTTCCATGCAGAGTACTTCTCAGAGTCGCCGAGGAGACCGCATCAGAGCTGCATCTACCCCAAACCGTCCTGTAACTCCACACTGTGTCTTACTTCGCTTGGCCCGCAGCCCCGCCATCTGTTCTGAGTCAATCAATTCGGTCAGCCCGGGTACCGCATGAACCTTGAACAATGTCTGAGAAACAAAGAATCATCAGTCGCGCAAAACTTCTCTTCTCAACCTTGCGAGATTCATACTTGAGTACAAAGCGTCGGAAAACAACTTCAATGATGCTGCTAAAACCTATTGTAACGGCCAAGTGGGCAAAAAGACTCAAATGAAGCATGCTGCTTACTACTGTGGCAGACCTTGTACGCTGAGTATGGCGGCAATCTAGTTGCAATTAGAGGCCATCAGAATCTGTGAAAACTTGCGGTTTCGTAGGAATACATTATGCGATTCATAGTTCGCGACTCGGGAGATTAGGATAGTAGGCGACAGGATATTAGGATAGTAGTAGAGTAGGAGATTGCGCTGACAAGATTGGATACGTATCGATTGAAATCGCTGGAGAGTAGTAGATTGGGCGACTTCAAGCGAATAGATCAATACATATCTAATCTTGTCAGCGCACTATCCTAATCTACTACTATCCTAATCTCCTACTATCTCTACTACCATATCTACGCAAAAAAAAATAAGAAAGCGCCAAGCTCTAGCGAAGTGTGCCAAATAGGGCGCATTAATTATGCGCCAACAAAATATGTATATAGGCAAGTGCCCATATAAACCAGCTATCAATAGAAAAGACGAACGATTAGGTTCCCATCAATTTCTCTTTGGTATGCGTCACGCAATCCATCCATTAAAAATTATAGGGTGCCATTTGATTGCGGTTTTTTTATTGTTTGCGGAACCTACAACATCCATACCAATCGGTTTGCAAGAGGTAAAAGAAATCAATAGGCCGCATTCGGTAAAAAAACCTATACCGCTACCTAACTTTACCATACCCCCAGGCGTTGCAATATTCGTCCAATAAGGTTGTGCTTTATCAAATCCGTTGATAAGAATGCGCTTTATCAACTCCATGGCTTCACCGTTCGAATTTACGCACGAAAACAAAGAGAAATCTCCACAAAAGTACGGCGTCATAAAAATATACTCTTATCGACCGATAGACTGATAAAAAGTCTGTTCTGACAAAGAGGAACTATGGCAAAAGGGACTGCTGAAGAATGTTATTTATCTCAAATCCATTTTTCCGATGGACGAACGCAGATTGAATTTGCTTAATGAATTCGAAGAAAAGAGAAAAGATACTGCATTAACAAATCCATTAAACATGTTTAAAGAAGGCGGCTAGAGTCACCATTACTTGTCACCACTTAAGTGACAGAAGAAAAACAAAAGAGAATACGTGTTCGGAGGTAGACCTTTAGGCACTCGTGACCTTGGGGGGGGGGGGGAGGGGGACAGTCGCAACAAAGCGAGAAGGGAAAACAGTCCCGCAACAAAGCGATGTAACGTGATTTTAACAGCTACCCCGCAGGAGAAAGGGAAAAACGCCAGAGAGGACACAAATTGCTTACATCTTCCCCAGAATCCCTTCCCCTACCTAAGGCGGATACCCAAGTGCTACAAGTGACTCACTCACTTGAACGTCCTACCAACGACATGAGCGCCGACCTTTATATGGTCCGGTGATTTGTGAACTGAAGAGAGGGAATTCAAGGACATTACAGACAGCCTGGCATGTACTACAAGGGAAAGTGCGTTTCGACATCGTTCCTCCGGCAACGAGCAATCCCACGTTTTTTCAGATGGAGATAATCCGATCGAAAACAAAAAAACAACATTAAATCTCGAGTGTGTTTACGAGAGAGTGAAAGTAGCACTGTGGGTGGAAGACTTGTCTGTTACATTGCACAATCTTCATCAT